GACGGAGCACGCCGGGTTCTCACCGGACCAGACCAGGGGCGGGGGGGGGAGGGGATAAAAAACAGCATGAGGATTTCGAGTACATGAATTCAACAGGCCAAATTCTTCCTTCCACGAATCAAGCTATGCATGGGATTCTGGACGCCGACGCGCGTTTTTCAGAAATATCTGTGTCGAGGATGCGAAGAGTCATTTTGCAATATTGGTGGGGATAGCGGTGGGGTCACACCTGATGCCACTGGTTGACATGCCAGAAGCGCAACATTTTTTTTTCTTTTTCTCCCATCGTTGGACTCTGTCGTCTGCCCCTCTGGCCCCTATCCTCCACTTCTACTAGCTAGACGACCCAACCGGGGTCACATAGGAGGGGGGGGGTGGACCCCCTCCTGCGGTTCATGCCTGAGGTATTTTTATCGCGAGAAGGGTACAGCAATCCCTTCCCTCGCGACTTTCTAAGTCGATTATGGTTTACTAACAAACAATGTAAGGACATGAAACATTATTCACATTTCGGTGTATTTTGGACGCACCGGCTGGGGTCATCGGGAGGGATACAAGGGGGGGAATATTCGTTGTGACGAAAGGCGATTCATAAAAGGCAGACGAATTCAAACACAAAAGCATGTCTGGTCTGGGAAATGCATTGAGAGTGTCAGCTCTTGGAAACGTCTCTTGTACAAGTTGGATGTGGGCATTGGCCAAAGAATCGAGTTCAGGTAAGCAACCTTGGACCCCCTCGCCCCCCGCGACCCCCGCGGTTGCCTGTAATCCACAGGTACACTGATCTGAAAAAAATCAAGCAGCAAGGACTCAAGACATCTGACTTGGACAAGCTTGACATCAAGAACCCTCTTCAACGCAGGTATTCCTTGGTTTACACCGAATACAAATGTTGAAATGCAAAGTATGCATGCTTGTGCTCCTGATCAGGTGCATCCACGGGATCAATTTACCCATGTGTTCCGCAGTTCTTTTGAGTTCGGCGGTTGTTGTCAACAGGAGGGGCGCCCACACGTTGGGCCAAGAGCTTGCGAAAGAAACCAAGCGATAAACACCAAAACCAAGCGCAAGCAGGTGGTGTCTATGTCCTTCGGTTTGTAACACCGACCCCTACGCATTGATCGGCAATGCTTGTTGATATGGACACTCAATCATTTGCATGCCTGTTGGTGAATCAGGTTCCTGATGGATGTGGGCAGATCTCCTTTCCGCACGGCGCTGAAGGTGTCTATCGTCGGCCATCGATCGTTCGGGGATATTGTGATGTTCAAGGTGGTGGCAGAGTGGCGGGCGTGGTACTCGAAGACAGAGAAACTGTACACCGACTTCAATAAGCTACACAACAAGCTGCGGTGAGAGCATTCGCCGGGTCAGGCTGCAAGGACAAACTGCGATAAGTTCTATATTGTGTACTCTACGGATTTTACCCGGTTTGAATTACTTTTCACGTCTCGCCATACGAAACCGGATACACTAGTTACTGGCAAGGAAAGCAGTTCCTGCCGGACGGCATGGTTTCGAGTGCCGGACCTTTCGGTAAGTTTTCCTAGGATGGTCGTGCGTCCAAGTCCCTTGGCTTATCCATCAGCATGATTCCAATTGGAGTTGATGGGAACAGGAAGAACATCTGCCCGATTTTTTTTCCCTTCATGTTTCTGTTCGCTTTGCCTTGTTCCTTGCTCTTTTGATCTTCAGGCGGGCTTTCAGGGAGACAAATTCCCCTTTGATGGAGCACCTCCCTCCTCTACCGGGAAAGGGGCAGGTAAGCTGGATGTAGCACTGCTAGCCCAATGTGGCCGAGCGTTTCGCTTGTGTGTACTAGTGGCGCGGCGGTTCAGCTCTCTCACTGCCCAATATCATTCCTGCGGGTTCGCCTGCATGTTACTCTCATCCGTGTCGTTGATCTACTCTTGAGAGCTGTTCACGGTTGGTCACGCGCGTGCCACCTCATGGTGATGCTGATTGTTGCAGGTTGTTCAAGACCAGAAGAACTCGGCTTTCCTTGCGAAGAGGAAGGTTGATTTAGAGGGGTATTTGAAAGAGGTGAGCTAACAAGCTTTGGAGGCCTATTTAACCTTGGTGAAGTGCCCCCCTGCGAGTGATGGAGTTCTTGGCAATAGTTCACACTGGGCTGTCGGCAGGTGGGGGGGGGGGGGGGGGG